TCGGGAGGCCGCGGCAGGCCGCGGGGGGCCGCCACGGCGCGTTCGTTAGGCCGCGGCGGGCCGCGGGAGGCCGCGGGGGGCCGCGGGAGGCCGCGGCGGGGTGTTCGGGAGGCCGCAGCGGCATGTTTGGGAGGCCGCGGCGGGCCGCGGCGGCGCGGTCGGGAGGCGGCGGCAGCGGCGGCGGCGCAGTCGGGTGGCGGCATTCGCTCCATAAGACGCACAGACATTTTCCCCCATCTTTTGGGGGGGGAAAAGTGCGTCTTATAGAGCGAAAAATACGGTATAAGTCGAAGAAGGTGAGGGAGAAATTTATCCGGCTCCTATTTTGATAAGAATCCTATCTAATTTCACACTTTTAAATCAATTTGTAAAGTGATGCTCAGTAGCCCTTTGAAATATACAACTTCTACAGATAATCCTTGATTTACAACCACAATTGGAACTGGAATTTCCATTGTAAAGTGTTGCAGTTATAAAGCGAGTCATCACGTGGCCAGATCTCATTTTATGATCATTTTTACTACTGTTATTAAGTGAATCACTGTGGTCGTTAAGTGGATGATAAGGTGAATCCAGCTTCCCAAATTCAGTTTACCTGTCAGAAGCCAGCTGGGAAGGCCGCAAAGTATGATCACATGACCACAAGATGCTGCAACCACCATAATGCAAGCCAGTTACCAAGTACCCAAATTCTGATCACATGACTGTTGCAATGGTCAGAACTTCAAGGATGGGTTATAAGTTACTTTGTCCAAGAGCATTATAATGTCAAATTGTTGTTAAATATGAACTTGTAAGTCAAGGAGTACCTGTATTAATTTTGCTATATAGGGAGCCAAACAAAGAATCCAAACACAAAGGAAGGAAGGAAGGGAGGGAGGAAGGAAGGAAGGAAGGAAGGAAGGAAGGAAGGAAGGAAGGAAGGAAGGAAGGAAGGAAGGAAGGGAGGGAGGGAGGGAGGGAGGGACGGCCTATATTATTTCAGATGATATGCTGGAGCTTCTGTTCTGATTCACTGAATGCTAGTGGTAAAAAAAAATCCAAGTTAAAAACTGCATTCTAATTTATGAAGGATTGTCTTAAAAGGAAATGGCTATTTGGTCTTTGTATCCAGTCACTGGTTTATTTGATAGCAATTCTACAATCATTGCCAAATTCCACGGAAAACCTTCCATTTATAGAATTCTAGTATACTAAGAATAAAAAAACACCATGCAGTTCACAATATATCCTAACTCTCTAATTATTCTAAGGTCACATTTTGTTTTTATATTCTGATAGACCATGGGGACTCCTACCCATTTGATGGGCCACGAGGGACCTTAGCACATGCTTTTGCACCTGGGGAAGGTCTGGGTGGAGACACTCATTTTGACAATGCAGAGAAGTGGACGATGGGGATGAATGGTAGGCATAAAACTATACCCTAACCTGAAAATATTTTAAAAAGGCAATTTGTTCAAAACTGACTCTGTATAAATAAATACACAAGCAACCATAAATGAACTGAAAAAAGGATTCATCTTGGTCCTTCAGTAACAGGAAAATCACTATATTTTGCAATGCACAAGGTTTAGTTCAACAATAAAGTTTGCTTTTCAGTAGATCCAATACAGATCTTCCTTGATTTCTGGATTCTTCCCAACCCTGGAAGATCAGGGCTATCAATTGTTTATAGGTTAATGGGGTTTAGCAATCCTCTCAAGAACTACATTTTATGGGGGGAAAACAGCTAAATTACATGAACATTGACTTAAGGGGTCCTTGGTGCTCTCTGAGCTTGGTTGTTTTCTTGCAGACATTTCATTATCCAAACTAGGTGACATCCAAGCTCAGAGAGCATCAAGGACCCCTCATTTTAACCCTGAGTTGCAAATATTCCTTTTTATTGGGAACATTGACTTACAAAGCTTGATTTTGCAACAGTCCAGAATATAAATATCCTTCTTAGTTTCTTTTTCAAAGATTGAGAAATTCCTGCAAAAATAGCATAGAATTTTATTCTCTTTTATAAATTTGAAGTCTTAAATTGCTGTTGTTGTTGATAGTCAATCATGCTAAGCGTGGAAGGAAAGCGCTAAATGAAATGTAATTAATTTATTCAGTTGTTCCAAAAAGAGGGGAAGTATCTGTTTTCATATTTACTATACAGTCCAGCATCCACCTCTGCTTGTATAATGTCGTCATATTCAAACTGTTTTGCTTTATCATACATATACTGCAGAATATTGCTTTCAGCTCTATTGTAGCTGGAAATTGTATCACCAGACTATTATCGGACAATAAACTTATGACTTTTGGCCTTTAGCACTTAACTCAAGTGATCCCTAGTTATCATCACAATCAGTAGCAAGGAATCCAATAAACCTATAGATATCACTAATATTAACATTATATTTTTTATTATATAGGATTCAACTTATTCACTGTTGCTGCTCATGAATTTGGCCACGCACTGGGCCTTGCCCATTCTACTGATCCCTCGTCTTTGATGTATCCAACCTACAAATATCAGCATCCCTTTGGATTCCGACTCCCAAAAGATGATGTGAAAGGGATTCAGGCATTATATGGTAGTTCACATTGCTTTTTTAAAAAAAAAAAAGTTTACCTCTTAACGTTTTAAATTCTTTAGATTTAATTTATTTACTTCCTTACAACTAGTCCTTTTTTTTAGTAACTCATGCAAAACATTTGCGTTCTTCATTTATGCAGTGCTATTTCCATTTTATAAAGTAGGACATATTAATATTAGTTGAAATAAATTTCTAATCTGGCTATGATTAATTAACACTTACTAATAATTACCAGATGTCATCATACTAAACTTTAGAAGAGAATATTTTTAATTCAAGGTTGAACTGTGGGGAACCTTGGGCTGTTGTTTACTGTTAGCTTGTTTGTCTGAATACCATAAATAGCAAGGAATCACCACTCCCACCAATACTGACAGGGCAAGCCAATAATATATAAAATGAGAGCAAACCCCATTCCCCAATAGCACTAATGATGTTACCTAGTTTGGTAATGAAACTTTTGGAAGAAAACAGCCAAGCTCTGGGAGCACCAATGACTCCATACTACATTATGGCTGTTGAGGAACCACAATTGGCTGAGTTCAACCAACTTTCTAGCTCAAATTCAGCCACATTAAGATTTCTTTGTTGGGTGTATAGACATAGATGCATTTATTAACCACCCTATGCTAAACAGTCATTCAAGTTCTTCTGCAGCCCACATTTTCTACTTTTATTATGAGGTGATTTGGGAAAATGGACAGAACATTTTTGTTTCATTTTAATTTCCCCAGGAGTTTGGGGAAAGATTCTCTATTATGGTCTAAACTTGATTTTTTCCCCCTTCTTACATGATTCATGTTTTAAAATGGTGAGAAACTCTGCTATCAGATTTTCAGCAATTGTATCATAGGGACTTCAGATATTACAAAGGTCCCCAGACACATCTGGAAGGTATGGTTAAAGATAAAGATGGTGGCCGTTGACCATGTGATTGAAACTACCTGTTTTTTATGTGTGCCATGGGCAAACCTTTGATCATATCATCATGGCCGCCATCTTGACTTTCTTTACTATAACTCCATGGACACCCAACCACAATTCTGGAGGTGCAGCTTATGTGTAACTACTGCAGGGCTCATGTTAAAATACTATTTTCATTTTTTCCGCTCTCCTAAAAATAGTGTTAACAATTAATATCCCTTATCAATGTATACATTTTGCCACACATTCTGCAACTAAATTAGAACTATTCAGAAGTAATACTAAAGGATCAATATATAATCTCTATCTTTCTATCTATCCCTCCATCTATCTAATTTTGGAGGATTGCAAATGTGAATGTGTAAGTAATACAATATAACAGCCACATACAATGAGTTTTCACTCCTAATTCAAAGAGAATCATCTTCTAGGGCCAAGGGAATTTGGATCCCGAAAGCCTCCAGTTTCACGTCAACCTTTTCCCAACCTACCAACACCATACAATCCAGATCATTGTGACTCCAAATTTTCATTTGATGCTGTAACAATGCTGGGGAAAGAGTTACTTTTCTTCAAAGACAGGTAAGATGCTTTCTTTATCCAGTGTCCCAGTGACAGTAGACTATTACGTTTTATTTCTAGAAGATTAATATGGTCCTGGTTTGTTTTGTTTTTTTGGGAAGGCCAGTTTTTAGCTATATGAACCAAATATAGCCAGTTAGGTTCAAATTCCCTTTTTGGGAATGAAGGCAACATCCCCTTTGACAAGATTGTTTCACATACAACTCTTGGTTCTGAAAAACCCACCTAAAAATCCCCTCTTTCTGCTTCCTGCTCTGGAATGACTCAACGATTTTGCCATTAGGCATGACTTCTATCGTGTCTGGCAGAGAAAAAAGGAGAGAGATACAATGACTCATATGAAGTGTTAAAAGATTTTTTTTCTGTGCTGTCTATTCTCACAGTTTTAGGCAGCTTAAATAAAACATCAATAAAATACAAAATCAAGCCCTTAAAAACAATCAATGCTATTAATAACAACTGTAACTAAAAACTGTTGTGACAGAATGTCCCCCCTGAAGAGTACTGTTTTCAGCATATCTATCTTATGGGGGTAAACTGATCCAGAGGCGGGGGGCTATTGCTGAGAATATCATTCTCTGGGTCTCAGCCTTCCAGTCTCTATCAGGCTGGATCCTGCAGCACCCTCTTCTTATTAGATTGTGTAAGGCAGGTAGATTCTACCTGAAGAAGACAATTCATAGAGGTGTTTATAGGTAAGCAGCAGTCCCTTGGCTCAGAAGTCTACTATCATTCAAGGCAAGGTCCTGCAGGACAAGTGTCATTCAACTGGGTTGGCACATTCTAGGCCTTCTGCAGTATTTGTGACATGTTTAAGGGCAGTCCTGCACAGGGCAAATTGTAGTAGTCTAAATGAGAGGGTACAAGAGTATGAATTTTTGTCTTTGGTGTCTCTGGTCTAGCAAAATGGTCAGTTTCTAGATGATGCCGTGATCATTTTTTGTGTATAAAGATGTGGATGGATGAGTATGGTGTAGCACTAGGAAAATAAAGAGAAAGCAATCCCACCTCCATTTATCTGTGAATTTCAATAAAAAACTTGGGAGGGAGGGTCAAGGAAATTACTTTTACAGGTAGTCCTCAACCTACACTCACAACTGAGCCCAAAATTTCTGTTGCTAAGTGAATGGGTGTGGAGCCTTCTTGGAACTGTTGAAAGGACTCTGTTGTGGACTGAAGATAGATGATGTCGACTCTCTAAAAGAATGCAAATGACCAGCTGTCTGCAAGCAGTATAAATCCTTCCATTCCCCACTATCCAGTCAGAGCTAAAGAAGCTTCTTGGATGAGAAGCGAAATGTCTTCAAAGAAAAAACAAGAAAGTCCAGTTGCCTCGTGAAAAAAGCATCTTTGGGATAACTACGACCTGGATGACCTGGATAAACATTTAGCGATACCAGTAAATAGAAGTCCTAAGTATTGCATGAATGTACCATTCCTTCAAAATAAAGGGTAGGCAACACATTGCTTATGAACACCACATCCTCCCAGACACTTCCCTTCCCGACTTCTTATTTTTCCTCAATTTTTAATAGATATGGGGGTGGATGTTGACCCCATGCCGTTTCCTTAATAACATTTTTAGAAGTGGTTTTCGATTGCCGCCTCCTTTTTCATGCTGACACAGAATGACTGGCCCAAAGTAACCCACTAGCTTTGTGCATAAAGTAGAAGTAGAATTCTAGTTTCAATGCCACACATACTGTATGTACAAAGGGGGGCAGAGCTTGGAATGCATGATTGCATCTGTCACATTGGCCTTTTGCCTTTCTTTGGATGTCTCTAATTTGCATGTTGGTTAGCTAGGTAGTAAATGTGTACCTTTTGATTGATCAAGCTCAACATAGCACCTGTTTTATGAATAAGCAAGCTTCCCGTAAAGTTATTTTGCAAGCTCATTACCATGTGCTCTCAAAAGTCCCAGGGTATGTTTGCTGTGCAGTAAGCCTCCCCTTTTCTTTTCTTCTCTTTATCTTTCTCCCTCTCAATAGGTACTTCTGGAGAAGGCAAGCTCAACTCACAAGCCATGTGCAACCACTCAGCATTACCAGCTCTTTCCCTCAGCTCATGTCAAATGTGGATGCGGCCTACGAAATAACTGAGAGAGGAACTGCTTTTTTTTTCAAGGGTCGGTCAGTTTTGAAAACATTTGTTGTTTTTGTTGGCGTTGTTTTCTTAGATCTGTGAATGTGTATTCATCATTTGTGTAATGGTAACCTTTAACCAAGGTTCTAGTTTACCTTAAAATCAGTCTTGTGTGAAAGACTGCTATTACTGTGTTTCTGCCCCATATAATTACTGGGCCTGTACCAGCAGCTCAGTGGAGGCAGAGAAAAAAGAAAATTTCTACCTGCAGTTGCTCTTTTTCAATTACAAGCAGGAGGCATAACATTTCCTTGATGGATTATGTTCAACTTAGTCAATCATATAACACCACATAATTTTGAAGGAGATTCTGGAGAAAAAGTGTCAATAACTAAGGTGACCAACTTTTTTACAATGAAAAGGAGGACACAAATAAATTGAAGAAAAAAATATTGTAAATAAAAGAAACATTTTATTCATTGCAACAATAATACAGAATACACTATAATATAATAAATGCATAATAAAAACATTTGTAACAATAACATTTTATATTGTAATTATGCTTACATGCCGTGCCCCCGCCTGTAGCCGCCCCACCAGCACTGCTGCCCCACCGTGTAGAGCAGGCCCCATGGCTCCCAAAGCACCAGCTGTGCCGGCTCTGGCCCCAGGGGACAGCCTGCCATCGACACACTCCGCCTGCAGCCGCCCTGCCAGCACCACCGCCCACCCTCCGCAGCCCCATGTAGAGCAGGCCCCACGGCTCCCACAGCACGGGGGGCAGCTGGCCACCACTGCCCCTCACACCCCCGCCCACAGCAGCCCCGCCACCCCTGCCTCTTGCGCCCACAGCCATTATTGCCCTAGCAGGGCCGAAGATCAAGAGAAAGTTACTGTGGCATCGCCGCTCCAGTCTCCTCCAGGTATCTTCGGGACTAACTAGGAGATGGTGTAATTGGGTAGCAGGGAGGGGTGCAAAGTTCCTGCCAATTTGCCTTCGCTGCAGACAACTTACATGTGCAAAGTTTGCTGGCCGGGTGTTTTGGTGCGCTCAGCAGCAATTCCTATTGGCTTTTGAAAGCCAATAGGGGGAGTAGCACAGCTCATGCAAAAGTTGAAAACAAAACCATCAAAAAAGGTTCCGGAACACCGTTCTGAGCGTTCTATGAGGAAAAAAAAGCCCTGCAGATTAGTCTTCAAATATCAAAAAGGAGGACATGTAGGAGGACACTTTTCGAGGGAGGACAGAACTCACAAAAGTTGGACTGTCCTCCCTAAAGGAGGACAGTTGGTCACCTTACAATAACAATGAAGACTGCTGTTTTGCAGCAATAAGCACCCAGATTAACACCAAGATTAACTCTAGAGTGTTAAGAGTATTAACTAGTAAGTCTTTCCCAAGGATTTGGGCTAGGCAGATGTTGTGGTTTGATGATATTAAAGGTATCATTGAAAAATGTAAGCAGCTCCAAATAAAGCTGACTTTTGTAATTGATATTATAGTACTATTAATAATTATTGTTAGTCTATTGTGCATCATTATTTGAAGTTGCTTAGTGTGAGAATTGCAAAAATAAAAACTGCTGCTTAGAAGAGGAGGTTGCCACCAACATCTACACCAAATGGCACTTGCAGATATTAAAACTAGAGTAGCAATTGTGCCATTTGGTGTAGATCAGGGGTAGTCAGCCTTGGCTCTTTTATGACTCATGGACTTCAACTCCCAGAATTCCTGAGCCAGCTAAGCTGGCTCAGGAATTCTGGGAATTGAAGTCCACGAGTCATAAAAGAGCCAAGGTTGACTATCCCTGGTGTAGATGTTGGTGGCAGCTTCCTCTTCTGGCAGCAGTTTTTATTTTTACATCTCTCCCACTAAGCAAGTTCAAGTAATGATGCATCTTTCATAGTCCATGAAGTTTTGTTCAGACTGAGTCAGAAATTGTGAAAACCAAATAAGAACAGGTGATCACACAGGTTTGAATTGATTCCAGAGCATTGAAAAGACTCTGTGTGGAAGTACCCAAGGATATCCTATTAAAATTGGAAATTCAAATTACAAGTGCAAGGTTATGTAGGGTCATTATATTTATTTATTTTTTCTTCGCCAGGTCCTCATTATTGGACAACCCATGGTTTCCACATGCAGGGCCCTCCTCGATCGATTGCAGATTTTGGATTTCCTAAAAATGTGCTACACATAGATGCGGCTGTCTACCTGAGAGATGAAAAAAATACCTTCTTCTTTGTAGAAGACGAATTTTACAGGTTTATTGTCTCCTCATAATATAGGCTTTAAATAATCAGTCATGAAATTTCATTCCTTAGTGCTGAACAAGAGACCAAGGGGGAAAATATTGTCTTGTTCATAATACTGGAATATTGCCTCAGCCAGTAAAAGAGATATCCTGCATCTATTTAGCCAACATATAGAAAGGTGTGATTGTACCCTTAATTACATAACTTTTACATTTCTCATTGTGATTGCATTGTTTCCTTCCTGACATACCTTGAAATTTCTTCTTTCTTTATCTGTTTACAAATGGGAAAATTACATAAAAGTCAAATACAGATTTCCTTAACATGAATCAGATTGAAACTGGATTTTTCCTGGATTAATTACTTACAAATGGGAAATCCGCTTTCTCCTGTTCTCATTTCTTGCCAGGAAATATGGCAAGATAGCATAGGAGCATGATTTTAATTGGTGAGATTTTCATTCAGTAGCATTTAAAATCTTGGCCCTAATAAGCAAATATTGAGGTACATATTCAGTTCCTTTGCAAGTGAAAATAGAATTAAGATCTTTGCAACTCAGAAAAATAAATATTTCCTTCACATACACATACATATTTGCTATAATTCTCTGCTTGGAGGTATAGTGATGACCATTGACTTTGATGCTATTGTCAAGAGTGGTACAGCATTTGGATTCAAGTGTATATATTTAAGAAAAAAGGCAAAGACATAGTTAGAAAAAGGGCTTAGTTAAATCCTGTGATATTGCAATTATAGCAAAATAAATTTCCAAGTTCACTTCAACTCTTATGTAACACTTTTTTTTCAAAACACTACATCTATACATAGAACTTCCCCTTTATAATGTTCCTTTTTTTCAAGCTATGATGAAACAAAACGGAAGATGAACAAAGAATTCCCAAAGAGCATTGAGGATGAATTTTCAGGAATTAATGGTCGAATAGATGCTGCTGTAGAAGTTAATGGTAAGTATTTTATCTATCATGTGATTTCTTTCAAGCAGGTTTTAAAAACATTCTTGTTAAAACCTCTTGCCATTTAATTTTTCTGGATGTTTTTCATGACATCTCTGTTTTTGATTTTTGAATCATTCTTTAGTTATCACATTTAATCTAAAGTGTGTATTTTCCTCATCCTCCTTTTATTCATGATATGATGCTGTAGAGTAAGTAGGCCAACAGGCCAAACTCAATGAATTAGTTATTTGACCAGGGATAGGGGGGGAAGACTTAAAAATGGATTTTCTACTTCCAAGACAATATTCTGATTCTTGTCTAGTGGTTGGGACAGTCCAAGAACTGCCCATGCTAGTTGGGATTGATTGATTGACTTACAAAGACCTACAATTAAACAAACAGCAACCTATTGTATCTGGAGAGAGAAAGAGAGAGAAAGAGAATGAGAAATGTACCACTAACCAACACAACAAAATATTCAAAACAAGACAAAAATGAAACAAAGCAAAACAAGGGGACTCCAAAATCACTCTGTTCCCCAAGGTCTGGAAGAACAACCACTTCTTCAGTAGTTTCCCAAATGATATATTCTGGAACTCACTGTCCCAGCACAACTGACCCTCCATCGAAGAAGGCTGATGTAGCCATTATGCAACATTGGCACTTTTTATGGAACAGCAATAAATGCTTTTAATACAATTACATGCTTTTGGTTTGTGGCTATATATTCATTTATAAATTAAAAAATAACTAAATAGAGTTTGTCGACAGAAATATCATGGGCTAGTGTTGCATAATCTATGATAGATTGACTATATTATCCTAATAATGATAGGCATTTCTTTGAGTTCTTCACTTCCTTTTTTCTTTCCTTTTTTAGGATTCATTTACTTCTTTTCAGGCCCCAAAGCCTATAAATATGACAGAGAAAAGGAAGATGTGGTTAACGTTGTGAAATCCAGCTCTTGGGTGGGCTGCTGAGGCTAAAACTGCCCATCAGAGGATGACAAATGAGCTAGCCGATACAGAAACCAAGGAAAGAATTGCAGTCCCCTTGGTTTTACATTCAGAAAAATGACTACAGAGCACCAGGTTATAGCTCAAATCCAGTGAAGAAAAGAAAGCAAATGAAAATCAGCAATTCAAGAAACAAACATAATAGAATCTCAGTTACTTTGATAATCCCCAATTCACAGATGATATGACCTGCCCAAATCATATGAATAAGTTATTAGAAATCCTTACCTGATAAATTCAGATAAGATGCAGAAATGATACCATCTGCATTCTCCTATTAGATGCCAGTCCCTTGTTTCTATGCCTCTTCTAAACAGCCCTATGTGATTTTGTAGGGTTTTATCCATAATTCCTCATCAATGGCATATATTAATAACATAATCCTTCAGACGATGTGATGTGCGTGGAAGACCATTCATGGTTTGTGGCAGAAGTATGAGTCAGGGACATTAGTAACAACAGTCCTCAGATGTCTGACAGTGGCCAAAAAAAATTGTCCACCAGTTTCCAAAGCCTCTTAAGTCTTCCCCAATTCATGTTTCTTTTTTCTTTTCTTTCTTTCTTTCTTTTTTGACTGTTGGCAACTGCCTGGACAAATCCTTGCAGTTTTCTTGGCAAGGTTTCAAAGTGGTTTGCCATTGCCTTTTCCCTAGGGCTGATACAATGACGGGCCCAAGTTCACCCAGCTGGCTTCATGCCTCGGGTAGGACTAGAACTCATGGTCTCCTGATTTCTAGCCTGATGCCTTAACCACTAACCAAACTGGCTCTTCCCCAGTTCATTACCTACAAGAAAATTGTAAATCCTCTGTAGTGGCTGTAAGTATTCCTCAAGACAACCTATCGTATTGTCAGTTTGCTAATTAAATAATTAATTTTTAATCAGAGGGGCTATGCTCGTCTCCTAAGAAGATTGTAAGCTCCCTGATTCTAACAGGATATTATGTTTCTTCTGAGCACAGGTAGAAAAAAATACCATTTCTTGTCTGGAGCCAATGTACTTGCTTGCCTTTGTGTATGATGAGATGTAAACCCTTCCAGTGATGCTCCTTTTCCTTTCCTGAGTAAAAGAATATTCAAGAAGGATTATTTGTTGCAGGAAAGGGTTTGTGTGATTAACCTCAAGGCCCAATTCTGACATTTTTGCTGTTTTTGATAGATGTACATTTTGAGGCCCACCATAATTAGTCTACCTATCCAAAACTGGTACAAATTTCCAAACTAAGTCATGAATGTTTACAGAGTTGTCCACAGGGGGAATGTCAAAAAATTCAATGAAATCAAAGCACCACTTTTTATATGTGGTTTAAAGTATGTAAGAATTTAATCCTTACTATTTAATCCTTATTATTGCTCTCAAATTATGGAACAGAGAATAACAAAAATGGAAGAGACTTTGGTCTTCTAGTCTAATCCCCTGCTCAAACAGGAGACTCTATGCCACTTCAGACAAACTGATTTAAATCTTCTAATTTGTATTTTATATTGTTCTATTTGAAGAAAGATAATTTTAGAACTATTATAGATAGATAATAAATACTGGACAAAAATAATCAAACAAAATTACATGAATAAACTACCTGCACAGAAAAAGCAATGGTCCTGAAATGAGATTCACATTAATTGCATCAAGCCTAAATTAAATGTATAATAATTTTATGTTACTATATGGATATCAAAGGCCAAATCTCATGTTTGCTTTTTAATTTGTTTTTGTTTGGTTTGAGGGTGATAATTATGGGTTTGTTTGTTTCTGAAAATAATCCACTGAAAAATAATGACAAAGAGTAGAGCAGACATGTCAAACTCGCGACGTCGCGTGACATCACGCGACCTCTCGGAACTTTTTCCCCATTGCCGGCAATGGGGTGGGTGCAGTTTCCTTGTGACGCATCTGGCTGGTGGGCCGGCAGTTTGACACCCCTGGACTAGAGTTATGAAGGCAGGGGGGACATGTGCCTTGTGAACAAGCATTCTCCTATTAATCAAAGAAGTTTTATGATAATTGTGAGTTTAGGACTGTTCTTATATAGGACCAATGCAAAAAACTATTTTGGAAAGGGAACAATTTTGAACTACTGTACAATCCCATGAAAGCTATGTTTTTACTGGATATAACATATTGTTTTATAGATCATTATTTATTGGATTATCACAATTTATTTTGGATATTTTTTTTACCTTTCATGTAAGAAAACTAGAACAATGGAATGGTTGCTCCCTACTTTTTTCCATAAGGAATTGATAAATACAGTAATTAAGATGATTTCCCCAGGTTAAAACAGTGAAAGTGGATCAGAATGCATTCCCATGTTTTTTCGCTTTATATTAACATAGCTACTATCTGCCATATAGTCATACAGGTTCAATGTAATTTAAAGTTTCTCTTCCCCTTTTCCTTTCTTATTATAAATCAAACTGCTTTACAGCCATCCCAGTTTGACACAATCCAGGCTGGTTGCATTAAAATTCCCAGCAACTGTACTAAGAATTACAGACATAATATTCTAACACATCTGAGTTTGGAAAGATTGAAAGTTTCAAACAGGTAATTATGAAACTCACCCACAAGCACCTCATGATTTTCTTCAGAGGTAATTAAAAGGTTTGCAGTGGTAGCAACTTGATCCTTGTGATAAAAACATTGTTCAAGGCAGTTGCAGGGAAAGCAAATTGCAATCCAATGCCAAGCCCCTCATATGTTTAAAAAACATATGAAGGTTATCAGTCATGCTAATTTATAATGTAAATAAATTCATAAGAAGGATTATTTTACTTAGAGCCAACATCCACTCAACAGAATAGAATTCAACTACTCTACCCAACAGATATATTCAGATCCCTCAGCCCTTTGTACTTTCTTCTTCCAGGTTTTACATTATAAGCAATGTAAATTGTTTGATTAGTAACATTTCTAATCAGATTAAAATATAATTACTTATGAATACAAACCACTGGTACAACTGCAAAAACATTGCATTGAAGGAGCATGATTTACAAATTACAAGAGGTTCCGCCTGTTCTGTGTGTGCTACCTGCTCTAACATATGCCAGTGAAATGTGGACACTAATTTCACAATCAATACAAAAGCTACAAGTGTCCTCTGCTGTGTTGTTTTTAAAATATAGATAAACTCATGCGGTCCTGATCAACAACTTCAGAGTAAAAACAAGAACAACATAGAGTAGAACAGGGGTCTTCAAACTTGGCCCTTTTATGACTTGTGGACTTCAACTCCCAGAATTCCTCAGCCAGGCATGCTGGCTGAGGAATTCTGGGAGTTAGTCCACAAGTCATAAAAGGGCCAAGTTTGAAGACCCCTGGAGTAGAGTTTGTGAATTAGCTCAAAACCTCTTACTATTTTTGAGGGTTTTGTAATAAGGTATCAGTCAACCGTATAGATAAGCAGCCTTATTCCTCTTGCAAATTTATTCATGATTCAGTAGGGTTCAATCGTAAAAAGTCTTCAGTCACTTGACTATTTTTGTTCCTTTTGAGGAAGAATGAGCCATGACAGAGCATTTTAACATTTTCTGCTTAAAAACAAATATAAGTTTTTAAGAAATATATGTTTATAAGAAATATATGTTTTTAAGAATATTTCCCCACCTTCATGGTTCAGTAGGGTTCAATCGTAAAAAGTCTTCAGTCACTTGACTATTTTTGTTCCTTTTGAGGAAGAATGAGCCATGACAGAGCATTTTAACATTTTCTGCTTAAAAACAAATATAAGTTTTTAAGAAATATATGTTTTTTAAAAATATATGTTTTTAAGAATTTTCCCCACCTTCATTTTTGAATAATTAAGACTGGACGTCTGATGAAGAAGAAGTAATGAAGAACTCTTATGGAAAACTAATGGAGAACTCTTATGGAGAAGAACTAAGAATAAACGTCTCTTATGGGGAAGAACCAAAAAAGATTGTAACCAATTCCCAAAAAAATCATGGAGGGATACTGGCCACTAGATGATATCTGCCCATAATTTCTCAAGGGCAGGATCCACCCAAGCAGTTACAGCCAAATTGCTTCTGAAAAACTAAAAGGATTTCTCTTATGAGCATTTCTCTTGGGATTTAATGAAAGTGTAGGTAGCCAGAGAAGTTGCAGAGAAGACTGTGTAAATAAAAATAGGTCATTCCAGATAAGTCTCAGCCACTTCATAAATCCATTAACACCAATACATTTCACCCCTGGGAAGTACTTCCAAAATCTTTTCTCCTTTGATAGAATTTTGAAAGCAAGGGTTTTTTTCCCATCAAATTCAATGAATATTGATAGGAAAAATGCAGAGTTTTTCTTTGTCCAGCACTAAGTCAAAATAGAACTAAAATTAAATCATGTGCCTTTGTGATATTCATTATTGCTGTTGCTCCATTAAAAATTGATATTATTTCAGACTATTTTGGACTGTTATCAAATCTGTATCGTATGTATTTCACATGTAAAAGGAAAATACAGTGAAAATATTAATGCAGCTTCCCCTTCCTTACACATTCTCCGGTTCCAAGTGTTTCCATTTAGTCTGGCCAAGACTTGTGGACTTCAGCTCCCAGAATTCCCCAGCCAGCCATGGAATTCTGGGAGTTGAAGTCCACAAATCTTAAAGTTGCCAAGGTTGGACCAGCCTGGTTTAGAGCTTTCAGATTATTAGTGCAGTTAGGCTAATGAAATTCTACATGTTTTATGGTCAACAATTACCCTGAATAATAGTTAGTTCTTTTGCATAGTTTTAAAGGAGCTTGTTAATTTCCTATGTGGGAAGAGGCACAGGATTCATTTCACAGAGTTAGCAAAGTTATGTCCAGAAACATCAATGGCATCTAGATATATTATGCTGATGTCTTCTTAGAACAGGGGTCCCCAGTCACAGGGCTGTGGCCCACTACCTGGCCTTGAGCCATTCGGAACTGGGTCACAGAAGGGATGCACATGCACACACTCCATTTGCACGAGCAGTGGGTGTGCATGCCCGCCGCTTGTGCAAATGCAGCTGCGTGCACATACACGCACTTGCCGGCCACTTGTGTGGAATCCATCCCCTCTTCCACCCTCGCCAGTCCACAAAGCCGGAATGGTTGGGGAACTCTGTCTTAGATGATCATGTCCGGTTTATTGATCAAGAAAAAGCTACAGAGGGGTGATTTAACTAATATATTTAGCTTGCTATTTAGAAAGGCAGCCCTTGATAGGACAAGAAGTAAAAAAAAAACAACTTCTGCATAATAATTAAACTACCTGGAATTTAGATAAATAAATATTGTATTAAACAAATTGAGCTGTTGAAGCTCTACAGTTCTGTATTAAAATGATTTCTGTTATTGCTATTATTAGAATTTTTTATATTGGATACTGTATTTATTTGATTGATTGATTGATTGATTGATTTCTAAATGATTCTGGATGGTTATAGAAATTAAACAAATAAATAAAATACATGTACATTGACTCCCAATAATTCCTGGTAGCTTACAAACAAAAACATTAAAAACAAGGAAAAAACACAGATGAAACCCACTCCAAATCTAGGTGCCCAGGAATCTCTAGTGTTTTATCTTGGGCAGATTGCCACAGTCATATATAAAGCACATTAGTTATTTTAACACAGTTATTTTAACACTGGGGGTTTTTAAGAAGAGCTTGGACTACCATTTGTCTGAAAAGGTATAGGGTATCCTTCTTGAGCAGGGGGCTGGACTAGAACAGCAGTCCCCAACCTTTCCAGCTTGGTGGCCAGGCCCGGCGCAGAGGGTGCGTGTGAGTGGCAGGTGCACCAACACACGCACGCACTTCTGCATTTGTGCTAGTGGTGCATGCAGATGCCCTCCAGTCACATGAATGGAGCTTTGTGCGCGAGCAAAGGTGCTTGCTCTTGCACACAAAGCTTCATTCGTGCAAGTAGCAGGCACTTGCATTCACGTGTGAAGCTCCACTTGCACGAGTGGAGGGTGCTTGTGTTCGTGTACGACGCTCCACTTGCACAAGCACCTTCTGCTCAAGCAAGTGGAGCTCCATGCACACTCACTTGCCCATTTCTCCTACAGCCAGGTTTCAAACAGGCCATGGCCCAGTAATGAGCTGCAGC